ATATGTATATATATTCGAATACCTATGACTTCAATCTATCGTAACAATCCAGGGAAGTCGCTCTACGTTTTATGAGTTTTCCTGACGGCTTAGCTAGGCAAGGCTGTCTTTGTCGTCATTGCTCCACAAGAGCAAGCTATCAAGTGCATTGATAAATAATGCTTATAGCATAAGTTCATCTCAATCTTTCTCTTAACTAAAGCTGTAAATCCTTGAGCAGCTTGCTGTGATACGAGGGTTTAGATCTCTCTACGAAATATACCTCTAACTACGTCGTACGTTATGAAGRGTAGGTATGGCTGAACCAGGTTGCGTGGCTGGTAAACCATGAAGAAACACTGTTTCTTTCGGATGGAGCTAGGGGAATCTACGGCCACTGAACGCTCTCGACTACGGCTCCTAAAGGAAGATCAATCTTCACCAGATTCTACATTTCTTTGCAGGATTCATCTTTGCATCATGTGGACAATTGTAATCCACGGAAAATCCTTCTAAATTTGAGGCACTGCCGATTGCTCTGCAGAAAGGAAATGCAACGTGGATACCTTTGTTACAAAAAATGTCTGCCGAAAAATGGGAGATGCGCGAGAGAAAAGTCTTTTGAGATTAAGACTATTCGCGCTAGCCAATGTTTTTTATCTTTGGAACGAGTAGTAAGAAGATGTGAAAATGAACGTCAATATTTGTGTCATGGTGATGTTGTTACCTAAATTCTGGCATTGCGTGACTGTCAGTCATAATGCGTGACTTGATACCCGAGGGCTTGGCTGTGTAGCAATAAACCTAAAAAAAACAATAGTTGAAAGCATATCAAAAAATGCAAAGTTTAATAAACTCCTCTGCTTCTTACCTGCCCAAACGCTAAGAACAACGCTTGTTCATTTGTTAGTCCTAAACCAGGAATTCGCTTTTCTTCTCCGTGTTTGGCAACCCAATTCTTGTACGCCTAAAAAAGGAACGGACACTTCAAACGCTATTACAAGCTGACACTTAAACTTGCCTCAATCGCTATATTGCAAGAAAGGTGTGACAACTCGTCATAAAACTGACCCGGAAGAGTTTTGATTCAAAGGCAATGACACTCGACTTCGGCTCGGACTGGAGCAAATTGCCCGGACTTTGAAGTCCCATGCAGTTCTTATTTTCGGACTTGCCAATGACAATGTCACATACAGATGTTCGGCGGTGATTTATGTTAAATGCCTATTCTACTAGTTATTAATTACCCTGTAAGTCAAGCGAAGGCCTCCATTGTCAGCAATGTTCTCTGCCAACGTCTGAACACCGTCATTCTGATTCAAATAGCAAAAAGAGAGCATAAAGACAAATATATGAGAAGTTTTGATTATATTAAGATGTTTTTTTTAACAAAAGCTCGTAAAGGATGTCGGTTGACCGTGGTCCTTTGAAAGTCCAAGTATCCATACCTGAATTTTCTTTCCGTTGCCGAGATCAGAGTAATAATTACTGTACTGCTCGACAAGACACTTSGATCTTTTGTCGAACTCTGTCCTRGAAAAGTTACTCATCCAAGGCGTGCGCTTTTCGCCCTCTTTATTGAACTGGCTTCCTAAAACACGCCATGCATTTTGATCAGCNAAAATCCTTCTAAATTTGAGGCACTGCCGATAGCTCTGCAGAAAGGGAAATGCAACGTGAATACCTTTGTTACAAAAAATGTCTTCCGAAAAATGGGAGATGCGCGAGAGAAAAGTCTTTTGAGATTAAGACTATTCGCGCTAGCCAATGTTTTTATCTTTGGAACGAGTAGTAAGAAGATGTGAAAATGAACGTCAATATTTGTGTCATGGTGATGTTGTTACCTAAATTCTGGCATTGCGTGACTGTCAGTCATAATGCGTGACTTGATACCCGAGGGCTTGGCCGTGTAGCAATAAACCTAAAAAACAATAGTTGAAAACGTATCAAAGAAATGCAAAGTTTAATCAAAATCCTCTGTGTCTTACCTGTCCAAATGCTAAGAACAACGCTTGTTCATTTGTTAGTCCTAAACCAGGAATTCGCTTTTCTTCCCCGTGTTTGGCAACCCAATTCTTGTACGCCTAAAAAAGGAACGGACACTTCAAACACTATTACAAGCTGACACTTGACTTATACTTGCCTCAATCGCTGTTACAAGAAAGGTGTGACAACTCGTCATAAAACTGTCCCGGAAGAGTTTTGATTCAAAGGCAATGACACTCGACTTCGGCTCGGACTGGAGCAAATTGCTCGGACTTTGAAAAGTCCCGTCCAGTTCTTGTTGTRGGCCTTGTCACATACAAATCTTTGATGGTCTATGTTAAATGCCTATATTCTACTAGTTAAAAATTACCCTGTAAGTCAAGCGAAGGCCGCCATTGTCTGCAATATTCTCTGCCAACGTCTGAACACCGTCATTCTGATTCAAATAGCAAAAAGGGAGCATAAAGACAAATATATGAGAAGTTTTGATTANGCATTGTGTAAACGGTATATGACGTAAAAGCTAAAGTGGTGTATTATCCTTGAAGATGTGGGTAACGCAATTAATTTAGTCCCCCAATAAAGGAAACTTACGGATCTCATTTCGGCTCACTTTATAGAAGGCATTGACAATCTGCGGACCCATGAACCACCTACAAAACGAATAAGTACGGATAACTGCATTCAATATTTTGACCCTGCTGTTGATGAATTAGAGGATATTACATGGGCGCGCGGTAAGCGAACGAGTGAGTGATTTTCAACACAAGAAGATKAAATTCGTATCTCCTCTATTTATGTGATGCAAATTGGGGAAACTAATTTCTAGAAAGGAAGTTTCAAACCCAAATCGTGGTATCCGTTGTTTTTTTCTTTTTTCTATTAAGAAAGACCAGTCTTAGAGGATCATGTTATATCCTAGAAGGCTTGCTTCTATAAGGGTTTTTATCTCGGAATGCGTTTCTGTTAGCTTGTTTATGAAATCATCATCATCATCTAGATTTATCGCGTTAGTAGTCGCATAAGGCCTTCACCCTCCCTCCCCCCGGTCATTCTAATATTAATTCACTTACTCGGTATCGTCCACCGGTCGGCCTATCTTGGATATTTGAAATTTTCGGAACCAATTACTGATATTCATGACATTCAGTAAGTAATGTTCGATGGAGTTAACCTCTACCTGAAAATGGATCAAATGAGGCACCATACTCGGCGATAAATGTAGAAAAATATTATTAATCAAACACAAACAGCTTAAAGACATTTACCTCTCTGTAATATTCTGTCAGCAGCGTAATATTATCGCACAAAGCTGGATAACCGATCTTGTCTTTCATCGTGTCAACCTTCAAACAAAATGCGAGTGAAAATTTCCTATAGACAATCAAGAATATACATTCGAGATATAGAATTTTATACCAGTCTGGTGAGATTCGTCTCAAGTTGTCTACCTTTTCAATGGATTTTTTCCTGGATTCGTCGTCTAGCCAAGTCAAATCAGCCACTTCATCTTTGAATGCTTGTTTTATCTCATCAAACATTTCTTTTACCTATAGAAGTTACAATATGAAAGTAACGTGATCATTCAGTCACTCACTCGTTCA